CTAGAACACAACTAAACCTTTTAGAGGAGAAAAGAGAGGCAGTAACCATTTCACTAGCTGCATTCAAACAGAAGCTGGCAAATAGTTACAACAAAAGGGTCAGACATAAAAGCTTTAACCCAGGAGACCTAGTGCTTTTGAAGTCAAATAGTATGTCGGCAAATTGGAACCTAATTGGGAAGGTCTGTACCGAATCTCAGATGTGATTGGGAAGGGAGCATACAGACTCCAATACTTAGATGGCACTGAAATGGCTAAACCAAGGAACGCGATGTAATAAAAAAGGTATATTCAATAAAGTAATCGTACAATATTTTCTAGTACTTTACTTTAACAAGTGAATAAAGTTGTCTTTTATCTCTTCCTCAAATGTCCTATATTGACTGAAAATAAGACTAGTAAGTATTATTTAAATAAAAATAATACGACTTGTGAACAATGAAGGGGACCCCAGAAGGCAACCCACAAAGGGACCCACTATTCGGGGTTTCCTCTTCACACTTTTTGTTTTGTTTCCAAAAAACAAAACAATTCTATCCTCACATGATGTACCACATTGATTAAAAAATGGACCTCTATGCTACTTTTATAACATACATGGTTCATTTATAAATCAGCGAATGGAACCCTATGATAATGGGAACCCATTGATGGTAAACTCACTATCAAATGCCCTATTATCAGATGTCTCCACGCACTCCCCCCACCTTTTTGATAAAGTTGTTTCCTTTTTAAACCAAAGTCCCACCTCGACCAAAAAGGAAAAATTCCTTTTGTTATTAAAGTACAACCTATTGGGTATAAAATCAGTGGGCGGGAGCTCTTAATTATGAGATCCATAGATTGTCACAGCCCACTATCAAGAGATCCATAATTCAGAGCCTTTCCCTCTCCTTTTGGAATCGTATCTTTTCAAATAAATTATTTCCTTTCAAATAAATGTCCCACATTAACTAAAAAGGAAAATCTTTCTCTATTATTGAAGTACAACCACTTGACTTTAATATCAGCGAATCGAACTCTTTAATAATGGAGGCCCATTACAACTGGCAACCCATTATTAAGGGATTGACCCGTTTTGATTACGGTGGCCCAATTTTAAGGGTCTCTCTCCATTTCCTCCTATAAATTATTCACTGAGTTTGGACTTTCATAAAGCCCACACAAAAAAAAAAAAAAAAAAAAAAAATATCAAATGGCCACAAGAGCCGATCGCAACAACAGGCAAATGCCCAAAGAACCAAACACCTCATCAGATTTGATCAAAAAATTGATCAAGTCCAAAAAGCCGAATGACCACAAAAGCAAATCGCAACAATAGGCAAAGGTCGAAAGAGCCGAACGCCTTATCAGATTTGATAAAAAAAATTGATCAAGTCCAAAAAGTCAAAAGGCAACAAAAGTCGATCTCAACAATAGGTAAAGGCCCAAAGAGCCAAACGCCTCATCAGATTTGATCAAAAAATTGATCAAGTTAAAAAAGTTGAACAACCATAAGAGCCGATCGCAACAATAGGCAAAGGCCCAAAGAGCCGAACGCCTCATCATATTTGATCAAAAAATTAATCAAGTTAAAAAAAAAGCCGAACGGCCACAAGAGCCGATCACAACAATAGGTAAAGGCCCAAAGAGCCGAATGCCTCATCATATTTGATCAAAAATTGATCAAGTCCAAAAACCGAAAGGCCACAAGAACTGATCGTAACAACAGACAAAGGCCCAAAAAGGCAAACACCTCATCAGATTTGATCAAAAAATTGTTCAAGTCCAAAAAAGCCGAATGACCACAAGAGCCAATCGCAACAACGGGTAAAGGCCCAAAGAGCCTAACGCCTCATCAAATTCAATAAAAAATTGATCAAGTCCAAAAAAGCTAAACGGGCACAAGAATCGATTAGAACAAATACTCAAACAAGTATGAGTAACCGAAAGGAGTATAAAGAAAAGTAAACTTCGATTAAAATAAAAAAAATTACAATGGAGGCAAGACATACCCCACACCTCCACACAAAAAAGAAAAACAACACTTGTACATCAAATTTCTCCTCATTCAAGTGATCCTCCACAGTCTCAGCTCCACCTATTGCATTAAACTTCTGCGTGAAGGCACCAACCAGCTTCACTCTAGCTGGTATAGAAGGAGAAGCATTTACAGTCGAGGAGGGCAAGCCTAAAGAGCTTGAGGGATACTAAAGAGGAGGCAGGACCTCAGGAGCCACTTTGCCCTTTAACAAAACAGCAAACTCTATCTCCCTAGCCAGCAGGCGGCTCACCATATTCCTCGATGATCAGAAGGCCCTGTTTAGCATCATACTCATCAGCATCACCAGAGTCTCTCTCCTCAAAGGGAAGTTGTCCCTGGGCAAAACCAAGTCTGAAACCCTTGGTATAGCAAAGATTCGCTACTTGGGAGAAATGATTGAACATCTTCAAACCCCCTTCCTTGCAGGTATGGATCAAAGAATTTGTTTTCCCTAGCTGCAAGCCAAACTTAGCTACCTTATTCTCGAGCTCCGGTGGCCCTCTTGTCAAAATACTCAATTGATTTGAGTTGGTAAGCCTTTTTCTTTTTAGCCTTAGTAAGAGAAGCCTCCAAGTGATTTACCTTTTTCTAAAGGGCAACGATTTGGTTTTCCTGAAGAGAATCAGCCGACAGCTTCTTCATAAAGGCAAACATCAAAAAAGATCTTTACAAGAAGGAAGCATAATGTTATCAAAAAGTCAAAATAAAGAAACAAAAAAGAGTGATCAAGTAAGATTACCTCCAGATGGACTTGAGAGCAAGAGAAAGGAGGTCATCGACACTCATTTGTTGTTGCAGAATCTCATCCCTAGGCAGCCACATCTCTCTAACCAAGCCCATTAGTGTCTCTGGGTCCTCGGCTCTAGAGTCACCAATGGTGATAGTGGAGCCGTCAGCATTCAGCATCGTAGGAAACCACCTTTCGGTAAACCCTGCAAAGTCACCCCCTGCAACGTCAATAAAACAAGGAACTAAGCTTGGAGCACTTGGAAGAAGGATCATCCTTCGTAGAAAGGCACTTGTGCCCTAGCCCAGACTGAAACCCCTGCTGTTTTTAAGAAGGGGAGAACTTACTTGCCTCAACAAAGACGTTTTTCTTCTCCTATAGTAGCTTAGTAGCCACCTCCCACTCTTTCCTAGTCGTACGGGGTTTAAGAGGAAGAAGTTCCATTGCAGATTGGGAGAAAGAAGAAGGGCAAAAGAAATTAGATCAGTTTCATTATCAGAGGCCTTGAGGTTGATAGGCTCTTTGGGATTCTGGACAATCATTGGGGCGTCTCTGGAAATCACCTCGAGAAGGGAAGAAGAAAGCAAGACAGGCGCAGAAGGAACGTCACCCCAGATGTTCGCTCACAAATACTCAAGTTGGATATCTGCAAATTTTGAAGGGAAAAAGTCAGTCTTATGGCCCAAGAAGTCATAAATATAACAAAAATGCTTTACAACATAAACAAAGAAAGAAGACTCGCCCGAATCATCAAATGCAAGAACGAATGGAACATGAAAGCTCGTACGGGTAGAGAAATCCAAAGCAGACGAGGAGTGCCAGGCCCCACCGACTTTAACAATTTTATCTTTCCACTCCTTGTCAGAAGTATTAAGATGAGAAAAAAGGGCTCTACCCGTCCTAGAATGAAAATGTAACCTACCCTCTCTGCCTTTTGTTCTATCAAGTGTATAACATAATAGGAGGTCAGCAAGATTCAAAATCAAACCTCGAACCCTATTCAAAGCAAGAAGGCGGGAGAAAATGCTTAAAAAGTTAGGGTTTACATGAAGGGGAGCCAAATTCAACATCGACAAGACCTGAAAATAAAAAGGCTAGGGTTAAGTAGAAATTGAAAAGTTGGGAAGTGCAAAGCCGAGAAGAGCATCTCGCCCTCTCTCAAACCCTTGCCAGTACTAAAATTCAAATCATGATTATACCTCGAGGGTAACATTAAAGGGGACGCGATTTTTCTTCTTCAACTGTGCAATAGAAAAAGATTTCCTCTCTACATAACCGGTCGAACTCTCTGCCGGCGTCCCCGATTCAGAATCGGACCCACGAACGCTATAAGTACGTTCGCTACTCTCTTGACTCTTAATGACAAAAAAGAAGGAATAAAAGAATGACTAACCTCGATAGACGAAAGAAGATTATGCAACGGTAGGCAAATTCTTGCTTAAATCAAAGGCGGGATCACAAGTGCAAATACCTGAATGATGAGAACACAATATATAGGCAAAGTGAAGCAAATAACAAAGAGGCGAGCACGAGACCCCAAAAATCGGGAGTATAAATGGTAATGATAAGCAGTAACAGCCGCAAAATTCCCCACTAATCACAACACACCACGTATCAATGAGTGTACAGCCCATTAATAACCAAAATCGCCTTGAAGCCCAACACAAGGTAGAAGCCCAATAAGAAAGGTCCACGAGTATGTCAAGTCGGCTCTGTTAACGAAGGATGCTCCACTTGACAAGAAGTGGACCAGGGAATAGCCCAAGTGCAACAAAACTCAAAATTCCATAACGCCCACATCCAGAAAAACCGCCAGTAACTGTTCCATGCAAATCTCTGTACAAGCTTATAAATAAAGCATGAATAAGAAGGGAAAGGCATCGAATTCCAATCATACTGTCCTCTCTTGTCAAAATTGTCTATCGTTTTTACTTTCTTGTTCATAATCTATTTTGACATATTTTCTTAAGTGTTTGGGTGTGAAAAATTGCACCTACCGAAAAAGAAGCTAAGAACCTAAAATATTTATTTATTTATTTATATTATTATTGTTGTTATAAAATTTTGGGTTCTGGAGTCTAAAATATTGTTTGGTGGGAAATATTTAATTGTTCAAGTGTTCAACTATTAGTTCCCCCGGGTAAATAATTTATTTTTAAAACTTTATTTTGGCCATATGATGGTACTTTATAGTAAAATAATTGTTGATTTCTTTGGCGCAGCATATTCTAGTAGTTTTTGTTGATAAAGATGTACCAACAAGGGGCGGATTATATCTCTATTTTGATCGACAGTGTTGAACTTCCTCCTTTATTTCATACATCGTCGGAGCCCTATATCTTTAGAGTGGATAATCTACTACGAAGAGTAAATGAGCAGGCATACGAACCAGAAATGGTGGCCATTGGACCTTACCACCATGGCAAACATCATTTAGAAATGATGGAAGTTCATAAATTACGATACGCACACCAATTTCTTAGTGGAAGTAATGCGATGATGAGCGTGGATGAATATGTTACAAGTTTAAGTGAACTGGAAGATGAAATTCGGGATTTTTATGCAGAACCCATCCCACTGGACAGCAGAGAATTAATGGGAATGATGCTTATTGATGGCTTCTTTATCATTGAGTTACTCTGCAAGTTTTGCAAGAAACAGCCAGTAGATGAAGATGGCCCCATCTTCCGAACGGCTAGGATGCTAAGATATTTAAAACGCGATCTGCTTTTATTTGAAAATCAAATTCCATTCTTCGTTCTCACTAAGCTCTTCAACATGACCAAGTTTTCTTTGCCTCAAGATGATCTTGTCTTGGTTGACATGGCCTTGGAGTTTTTAGGCAACAGGTTACCACACACATGTTCCAAAAAAGTTAATGTTTCAGATGAAGTTGATCATCTACTAGGCCTTGTACATTTCATTTGGACGCCCAGTACTGCATATGAAGCATATCATCAAGAAGTAGAAGAGCCATTCATAGGATGCACCATAAATCTCCAAAGAGTAGGAATACTTTTCAGAAAAGCGGCGAATGGAAACTCATTGTTTGATATAAATTTCAAAAATGGTGTTATGGAAATCCCGTCTCTGTCGATTAATGATGAAACTGAATGCCTTTTAAGAAATCTCATTGCATACGAGCAATATCAACAGAATGGACGAGGGAAATATGTCACTGATTATGCCACTCTCATGGATTGCTTGATCAATTCTGAGAAGGATGTTGAAGAACTTTGCTCCCGCGGAATCTTTAAAAACCGATTGGCTAATGACGAAGCACTGTCCGACATGTTTAACGAGCTCTGCCGTAACGTGGTGGTCAATCCTAGAAATTTCTGCTATTCCCAAGTTTTCGACAGGGTGAATAAGCACAGTGCACTTACTTATAGAAGAGCTTTGGGGGAAATTAGATATCATTTAAGAAACCCAATGACGGTTCTAAATCTTGAAATTTCTATGCTGGCACTTCTACTTGCAGCCATTCAAATTATAATTCCCTTTTGCATAAAAACTTAGATCCTTGTTGCTGCTCTTGTAAACAATTTCTTTTCTCAACAAAATTTAATTTAATAATCTATGGAACCCATACTGGGGGATTTTATTATATCTAGTGAGTGAGTTTGAATAAATTCTTATCCGCTGGATGGCAAAATTATAATTGATTGCATGTGTTTTTCTTTTCAAACAATAGATATCAAAGGATGCGGTTTTCTACATAGTAACGGTTAGATATGATTGTTATATTATGTTATTTACTTATTATTTTTATAATTATCTTTTCTTACACTTAAATTATAACCCAGCCTTATCATGAGCAATACATCATTATTCTCTCTCAAAGAATAGTCCAGATATCCCATTTGTGTTTAAGTATAATGCTAGTCTTTTGGGATGATTTTGTGATGCAAATTGGAAAATATGATGTCTCAATTATTCACTCGGTTTGTTGATGAGGTGTAGGTACAAGGAAAATTTTCTTTCTGGAAAGTCCTCTCTCAACTTTGTCTCTCTTTTCATTTCTTTCCTACCAATGAAGCACGAACACGGACACGAAATACGAGTACGAAACACACCAATACGACGAGACGATAAATTTTAAAAAAATAGGACACAGACGCGGCAGGGATACACCAATTAAATAATACATATATATCCACAATACCAAAAATCTAATCTCCAAAAAAAAAATATTGCAATAAAAGAAATACTTCAATTCATGATTTAAGAACATAGCAAAGTCATCAATAAAATTAGACAAATAAGTTCAAGTACATTTCCAACATGTTTAACATTCTTCATTCATCAATTCATTGTTTGTGTAGTTGTTTTATAAATTTTTCAAAATTTTACTTTGAAACATTTAAAATTACACTCGGACACGTGTCTGACATTGCTACGGGACTCTCGGGAAGGGTGTCCGTGCTTCATAGCCTATAAAGCACGGATATAGATACGGGATACAGATACGACACGACATGGATACGGCGACAAGACAAATTTCAAAAAAGTAAGACATCGACACGACAGGTATACGCCAATAAAATAATATATATATATATTCAAAATCTACAATATCATAAATCTAGTCTCCCTAAAAAAAATTTATGGTAAAACAAATACTTCAATTCATCATCTAAGTAATTAAGAACCTAACAAAGTTATCAATAAAATTAGACAAATAAGATCAAGTACATTTCCAACATGTTTAACATTTTCATCAGTTCATTGTCTGTGGAGTTTTTTAAAATTTTCAAAATTTTACTTTTAAACATTTAAAATTACATTAGATACCCTTTTTTCTTAAAAACAAATTACAAAATATACTATGCCGTGTCCCGTACGTGTCCCCCGCGTGTCCCATTCATGTCCACCCTGTGTCCAATAAAAAATAATTTCTAGACACTTCACAGAACTGTCGGACACGAGTGTCCTTGCTCAGACACGCATGTCCGTGTCGGATATGTGTCCTACACTGGTACGGGACATGATAGGGGTGTCCGTGCTTCATAGGTTACCTCTTTTGTTTCTACAAAAAAATTTCCTTTTATTTATCTATCACTTTATTTTTCCCTTTCTGGTGAGGTTTCCTCTTTATCTCTACCATGGTCCTTAATTTGGACGTTCTTCGTGACCAGTGTGAGATCCCTGAGGACGTTTACCTTAGACACTGCCCTAAGAATATCAACTTTAAGACAGGTGCCGGTCTCACAGAATGGGAGATCCTTCTTTCTGTCATTCACTTAAACACACTCAGATTTCCTTTACACCCCTTCTTTCATGTCGTCCTTAATAAGTTAAACCTCTCGCAATTGTTATAACAATTTAAAGCGATATAATCATCCATTAAACAACTTAAAAGCTATTTAAAATTCTATATTCTATTAATCCTTAGCATATTAATGTATATTATGCATTCTGGGAGTTAATTAAATCCATATAGACCAATTAAAACCATTAAAACCAATTATAACTCCTTCTGCAAACCCAAAACCAAAAATCCATCACCCAGATCAACTAAGTCGACTTCTTTAATCAACAACTAATTGACTTAGTTGGAACTAAGTCGACTTGTTCATGCTACGAGTCCTCTTCTTCATCTTCGGCCTCTGTAATTCCACTATAACTTCTCCAATATAGGTCCTAATCATCCATTCTAAGTTCCATAAGTCCCCAATAATTTATTTAAAGTGTTTAAGCATGTAAAGATCAAGTTTAAATAACAAATCATGCATCAAATCTCAAGATAGTACAAATCAAGAACATATACACATATTCACATATGGCTTATGTTTTAATTCAATTTAAGTATGCATACATGTTTATTATTCTTGTTTAATCATCCTAAAGTTGTTCTAGACATGCATTGAACCCTAAGATTTCAGATTGAAAATCTTGAACTCCCTTCTTCTCCGGCCAATACCTCAATGCCAGTAGCCTCTAAATGCCGTCGTCCTCCTCTATAGATTTGGTCCTAACCCCACGCACAACTTTCTTCCTTCTCTACCTTGATTTGGCCTTGAATCCTTAGCCAATTCCATTCTTTCTCTCTCTGCGTTTTTCCTTCCTTTTTCCTCTCTCTGCCTCTATATCTCTCTCTATATTAAGCACGTAATATCAACCCTCACACAAACTTATAATACACATATTTATAGGCTAAAATAATTATACCCTAATCCCACTTCTATTAACTTAAGGAGAAAGAAAATAAAAAGCAATAATAAAATAAATAAAGATGACCCTATCTTCCGAACGGCTAGGATGCTAAGATATTTAAAACGCGATTTACTTTTATTTGAAAATCAAATTCCATTCTTTGTTCTCACTAAGCTCTTCACCATGACCAAGTTTTCTTTGCCTCGAGATGATCTTGTCTTGGTTGACATGGCCTTGGAGTTTTTAGGCAACGGGTTACCACATACATGTTCCAAAAAAGTTAATGTTTCAGACGAAGTTGATCATCTACTAGGCCTTGTACATTTTATTTGGACTCCCAGTACTGCATATGAGGCATATCATCAAGAAGTTGAAGAGCCATTCATAGAATGTACCATAAATCTTCAAAGAGTAGGGATACTTTTCAGAAAAACAGCGAATGAAAACTCATTGTTTGATATTGTTGACTATCAGGGATAGAGAGGCAAAGATGAATATGAGACAGATATAGAACTGATGTAATTGATGTATATAGAACTCATGTAATTGATGTATATTGAATTGATGTCTTGATAATGATACAAAGCATGTATAAATAGGCTAATATCAAACGGCTAGTAAATCACTATTACAATGGTTATAATATAATGTAATTATGGTAGTATATAATATAATATAATTATGTTAACATCCCCCCTCAAACTCAAGTTGGTAGAGCAGAAACCAACTTGAGTTTGGAGAGAAAAACCTGAAGCGAAAGGCGGTACAGGAGTTGTGAAGATCCGATACATTGAGGTGCTTAAAAGCACATGATAGACCACTTATGGCGAGTGTGGTAGCCTTGGAGAGAGCTCTTGAAAGCTAATATTTGAGTGGAATCACAGAGTGGAATTTATCACTTGAGAGATGCACGGATGCGTCGATTACCAAGGGCGCTTGGAAGCATCGATTTACCAGAGGCGCACGAATGCGTCGATTACCAGGGGCACACGAATGCGTCGATTACCAGGGGTGATTGTGGAAGCGTCGATTACCAGGGGCGCTTAGATGCATCGATTACAAGGACGCTTGGAAGCGCATCAGAAATAGCCCAGCCCTTGGAAGCGCATCAGAGAGAGCCAGAGATCAATGCTGAGAAATTAGGCGGGCTATAGTTCAGAAACTGAAACCGGCCAGAATACACCCCCTCAAGTTCCAGAGGGATATCAGGAGCACCTAGGACTTGAATCTGAAACTAGGCCAAGGCTAAAATGAACTGGGCCAAAACCTTTACTGGCCGTTTTGAAAAACGTCCAAATAAGGAAACAATAATAGTTGATCCCACCCAATTCTTCACAATAATAGTATGAAAGAAAATAGGTGAGAACATAGGGAGGCGACAGATGAGAAGCGAGGCAACAGAGGAAGGTGAGCGAAACCCGTTGGTCCGGTCGTGAGGAGCGCAGCGAGCTTAGAGATTGGAGATGGCGGCTGGCTATTGGAAAACTGAGATAAATCCGGCGGCAGCGGATCCGGTGAAGGCCGGTCGTGTAGATGGATGACTTTTGGCCGCGAGGTGCACGAACTTGGAGATAGAGGTGGCGGCCGTTGTAGAGCCTATCCGGTGGCGGCGGATCTGGCAAAAGCAGGGAGGAGATGGCGGTTTGTTGGAGGACCGAGACAGATCCGGCGGTAAGCTTGGAGATAGAGGTGGCGGCTGTTGGAGAGCCGGCGGGACAAATCCGAGGGCGACAGTGGAGAAGCGGATCCGGCAGTGATCGGCAGCAGCTGATGAAGAAGGATCTTGGTTGAAGATGATCTGGCCGGCGATGGTGATGTCTAGTTCGCAACGGCTTGCGGTAACTCGGTCGTGATATGCTCGGCTAGTTCGGGCTTGGCTATGGAGATGGACGGCGATGTACGAGCAGTGAGTTGGGGATCGGCGACAAATCAGCAAGGATCGGCAGCCAACAGAGACTAGAGAAGTCGCGATTCCGGCGATGGTCAGAGAAGAGTCCAGGATTAGAGGCTGCGAGCAAAGATCTTGGCACGGTACTGAGCCGTGGTGGACGGCAGTGAGCTTGGTTGTTGGTTGCGGAGAAGACGGGTTCGCCATAAGCAAGGAGAAGCCAAGCTTCTCTAATTGGGTTTTGATATTTTGATTTTTGTAAATTTTTGTAGTTGCAGAAAGAGAGATGAGAGCTGCTTGGAAGGGTAGTTAAGCAGTAGCTTGGTTGAGTCCTTTGGACCGCCGCCGGAGATGAGGCTTATGCCGCCATCTCCGGCGGTGGCTCTGATACCATCGCCGGAAATATATAGGTTTTGTAGATTTTGTAGTTTGCAGTTGCAGAGAGCAGTGCCGACGGTGAGGTTATGTGGTGGTTGTTCAGATTAGGTTAGTCTCAATTTCAACGAGCTAGAGAAGGAAAAAAATATAAAGATAAAACAGATA